TATTTCCACGTTTGTACCAGTATCTGCAGCAACATGAAAGAAAAATCAGAGAGCAGGGAGATTACAGCTGAGGAAGCAGAGCACAGTACACAAATTGTCAATATTTTAGGACTATGATTTGATCCTGTAGATAAGTGTTGCTGCAACATTGCTCAAGAGAACACCTCCAGCAAAAAATTCTATCTCACAATAGAGTTGTCCAATATAATTAACTGGGCTTGACCAATCTAGCTGGAAGGTAGCAGTAACAAATACCCAACCCTCTGTGCCACCAAGGAGAACAGCTTTGGAAAGATGTAAATGTTTCATCTGAACATGGAATTCACACATGCAATTTCTGCTGGAACAGCTGGCTCACTAGATATACACGAAGAACATACAGTATGGACGTATTTTTCCCAATACAGGTATTCATTTGCATTATCACTTTCCTTAAGCTGTGATGCCTATCAAGAATAGATATACTGCTGAAAGCTTCCTTCTTCACCCAACAGCTCCCTCTCCCACTTGACCCAATAGCCCCTTTTTAGGTTTCATTCCCTCTTCCTCCAGGTAGAGCTCCTCTTTTCCCCCGCAAGCATCAATCTCCACGCTTCTGGAACAATTACAAAGCTCTGCCCTAAAGTAGTTTCCAGCAAATCAGAAATATGCACACCTCAAAAATAAATCTCTTTTATACTCCACACTTCTAAGGAGCCTCTGGGGGATGGCTGGAGGGGTCAGGGATGGATGGCTCACTCCTCTGCATTGCCTGGTGGGGAAGACAGCCAGCAGAGAGTTTAGGATGAATGCAGTAAATCTGGAGCCAGCCAACACCATTCACTGCTGAAATACGCTCCTTCCAAACAATGTATGTGTTCTTTAAACAATAACATATCCATAGATGATGACACATCTCTCATCTTAGAGAAACAGCAATTTTCTGCCTACATGCAACATATATGCGTGGGTAATAACAACCGGACTGAAAAATGACAATTCAGTGTTTTCCTTTCAAACTACCTTTGTGTTTTGGGTTGGGTTTTTTTGACCAGATAGGACATCAAGGATCTCAAAATGTCACTGCAGAGCCACTAGAATCCATGTGATAGAGCAGCCTTGATGGGCCACTCTGGGAAGCACAGGGCATGCAAAGCAATCTCAGAAAGCCACGATGGTATTGGGATGGGGAGATTATCTCGGGGTATAACTTCAACCTGACCTAGTGAAATGAATAATGGAATGGGTTGGGTTGGAAAGAACCTTAGAGCTCATCCAGTTCCAACCCCCTGCCATGGGCCGGGACACCTTCCACTAGAGCAGGTTGCTCAAAAACGTAATGAAATGCAAAGTGAAGCTGTGAGGCAGGGATGTTGCTTAGGAGAATACTGTAATTGGCAATGAGCTAGAATTTAAGGGGATTTTATTGCAGGGTTAATAACTTACTAGCTAAACAACGTTGACAAGATAAAGCCATTTTGATGGAACGCATGTTTCCCCTCCCTTTGATATATTTGTATTACAAATTGACCTGTCCACATTGCTGATAATATAGATTTAGAAGAATACACTGATTTTTTTCCTTTGGCTAGGCTGTCACATCTGCCAACCTGCTACTTCCCCATTATGGAAGACAACAGGAAAGCCCAAAGGGGCATGTCTAATTCTAATGACCTCCAGTCAGATACGGTTCCAGGAGTTATATCCAAAAATCACTCATCTGAGCATATTTAAAGTATGACTCAGCTGGGTATGTGCTTGCCAATTCACCAGACTATCTTCATGCTGATTAATTAGATGCATGCTCTGCTTTAGCTCTTAGGACAACTAAGCCTTTCATTTATTACTCTGATATTGAATCTTTGTGACAATATAAAGACAACAGACAAATATACTTGCGAGTACTCTATTTTTAGAATGTGAAAATCTTGAGATCATCATTAAATAATTAAAATTGTTTAATTATGGTCCTGAGCCTGCTTATCTAATAACATTTATTAATGAGAAATTAAAGACACCTACAAGTTGTTCTTGCCAGAGCTGCCGGAAGAGCATTTCATCCATCTCATACATTACTTACGTCTGATTAAGGCAATTTGAACAGTGATACTTGGTTCTGTGTTAATAGACATTTCTAGGCATCCTCATATGCACAAGCAACTCCTAGAAGTTGTATTCTGGGGTTTGGAAACAAAAGAACTTTCGGGAATTCACAAGAAAGATGAGAGGGTTAGTGGGTGTCCTGCTATTTCTGTCCATGATGCAAAACTGTGCATTAAGATGTCTATGCAAATGGTTAGCATGAGTAGAAATTAGTACTAATAATAGCACCTATTGCATGTACTGCTTGTAAGGGTGAAACCAAGTTTCAGAAAAGGTAAAAGGTTGGGTTTATCTCATCCAGGCACTTTTCACTCATTTACAGCTGATCAACAGGAATGGGGATCAAAATGCCCTTTGAATTCTGTGGGTCTTGGAGAGAAACGACAGGTCAAGAGAAAGCAAGAGGCAGATGGAGTGACAGAAAGACCATTTTGTAGCCCTGTAAGTTACAGGGAGGCCAGGAGACTCTTTAAAACAAAATTCAACTTCTAAAGCAGCACAGAATGACAGATTGGGAAGCTCTTCACATTACAAGGTCATCCTCAAACCTCTCCAACACTGCGGCACTCTACCAGAACACAGCGCACCCAAACAGATGTGGCGGCGGTTTTGAGAGAATAAATTAGATCGAGACTTTCTGATGTCACCGAATGCTGGTCATTATGTTCCTCAGCTTGCTGAGCAGCCAGCCCTGCAGCCTGCTGCCAGCATGCAGAAATGAGCAGCTTGGGTGGATGTCAAGCAACAAAAGGATCACCTGAATAGACCAAAAATATGAAAGATGCGCAGAATGTTGTACCTTTTAAGTGCTCCTACAAGCCTAATTTTAGATTACAGCAAAGCAGAAGCTTCATAAGCACTCAAAGTGCATGCTTAAGACAAGTGTTTGAAGTATTTTTGAGGGGTTTTTTTCCTACATAATGCAATAAAGATAAAATTACACCCATCTGAAGTTCCTCAAAATTTCAGAAGTTCCAAGCAAGGAACTTTGTTTTTAAATTAAAAGCTGATATGCCATTAACTACCATTGATAAAAGCAAAGATTCTGGGGAAATTGAAAATGGAGGCGAGTCTGATTTTCACCTTCAGATGAAGAACAATTGTCTTCATACCCAAAATCCTTTGGATAGACACTCATTGTTACGCCTTGGGTTTTGTTACAGTCTTTTTGCAGGTTATCGATTACTATCTCTGTTCACTGGCTAATATTTTGTACTTGTCTTCTTTTCATTGCCTACTTAAAATTCACTCAACCAAAAACTCATACAAATGACTCCTGGAATTCAGCTTCGTGTTGCTGTGACTTTGAGAACCCATTGATCCAAATATGCTCCAAATAACTGCGTGTCAAGCCTTTATAGCAGGGTTAATTCACTTTATGGCCTTCTTAATGCATGAGGTTTTATGTTTTACTGTATATCTGCTGTTTTGAGAGTGCTGTATTGAATTAAATGCATATACGGTTCAAACAGGTCCAAGGTGACAACTGGGGCTAATTTTAAAGCACTTTAAACAGCCTTCCAGTACCTAAAGGGGCCAACAAGAAATCTGGAGAGGGGCTTTGGACAAAGGCCTGTAGGGACAGGACAAGGGGAATGGCTTTAACCTGCCAGAGGGGAGACTGAGATGAGCTCTTGGGCAGAAGCTCTTCCCTGGGAGGGTGCTGAGGCGCTGGCACAGGGTGCCCAGAGAAGCTGTGGCTGCCCCATCCCTGGCAGTGTTCAAGGCCAGGTTGGACACAGGGGCTTGGAGCAACCTGCTCTAAGTGGAAGGTGTCCCTGCCTGTGGTTCAAACTGGACGAGCTTTAAAAAGGTCCCTTCCAACACAAACCAGGCTGGGATTCATAAGTATTATCCAGATTTGTGTTTTTTTAATGAAAAGACAGAAGTGAAGAAAATAGAATCCACTCTCTTTCGAAAAGAGGTTATTTAGCAAAAATAGAGGTTCTTCATTAGCATCACAGCTTGCCAAAGAACAACAATGAGGTATGCACTGGTGCAGGGCACATGGTGACTTTCATTCACACCAAGCTTTTCAGTGCCCTGGTTTAGAAATTAAAATCAAGAGCTATTGGAATTACTTTATCTATAAAATGCCATATACAACAAATTGAGAGTCCAGTTTAAGAAGCAATCAGCTTGTCATTGGCCTGTTGCCTGCACTCAACACTTCAAGTTAAACCCTGGTTTTGTTTAAAGATACATACAAGTACTCTGTAGCTCCGATCATTGAAAAAAGCCCCACATTTCCTTCCTGTCTTTCCTTTTTTTGTCTCCCAAAGGGACAGGCATCAATAAAACTTTATATCATCCACGTGAAGGAGACAACGTGGGCCTTTTCCAGGGAAGGATGTCAATGAATGCTTAACTTAAAGCATGAACATAAAATTAAGAAGATAAGTGGGATGACACTTATTTTCCACACCAAGTAGTTTGGTGACTTTGGGATCCTGGCAAATGGCACATAGATATGTATCAAGATTGCACACAGTAATCCAGTAAGATGTAAACAAAATGCAGAAAACATCATTTCCATGCAGAATATTCAGTTAAACACCTTCCCCATAACACTCACATTTACCAGAAGAAATTTAGACAGGTTTCCACCATGTTTCAGAAGCCACATACTCAGGTCTACAGACCTGGCCAGCCCAACATCTCCTCTCCGTTGCCATCAGCAAGAAGCACAACAAAATATGCAAGAAAACAATAAGCCCCACACACTTTCACCAACCTCCTAGTTCATGCTTATCCTTTGGAGTACAATAACCTTTAGAAACAGGCCTTACATAGTGTTTTCATGGCATGAAACACAAAGAGGGATTATCTTTGCTGACCATATCTAGGAAGGCAATGTTGCCATCACAGATATTCACATGGTTTCAACACCCAGAATAGATAAAACCACAAAGACTCACGGAAGGCTGTGTAGAGCTCCTGAAGGGTTAAGTGACCATCATTGTTGTAATCATCAAACCGGAGAAGGTCTTCTAGTGTACAATCCAACAAGTCATCTTCCAGGTCCTCCTCCTTCATTAGCTGTAGCAGAGAACAGGAAATCTTACATGAAATGTAAAGCTACAGACCCCCATCCTGGCTCATCCAACTGGTTTTCCACTCCATGACCTCTGGGGAGAGATATATTTACCATATATATCATTACATATTTGCTCTATAAAAACAAGGAACATCTGGTTTTCTTCTCTGTAGGTAACGACAAAATTCTATTCCTAGCTTTTAGGACTACAAGAATGGACGGTGTGTTCAACACTAAAGTGCTTTTCCAGTCCCTGACAGTTTGTTTCTTATGTATTCCAAGTATTTCACACACTCTATATTAAAAATGGTGAGAGCTTTTGAAGTCATACATCCACGTTAGCAAACAGCCAAACTCAGACCTAAGCATAACGAACATGTTGGGTTCTCTTGATTTATTGTAGAACGTGAAGAAAACTGCTGAAGCATTGCATCTTCCAGGCAGGAAAGCTTTTTGCTGTAGTCCAGGGACTCTTTTATTTACTATTCTAGTCCTGGCCCATTATATTGAAGCAATTTAAAGTAATAATGCTAAAAAAATGACCCTTCACCTGGCAAGTAAAAGTGTTCAATAAAAGTGAGATCAACCGTAACTTCCAAGATCAATCTTCTAAAGATGGAAATTTCCCTTTGTCTGTCTTTGTATTGAAAATTGATTAACTTTTCATAAGACTGACAAGTTTTTACTAGTCCTTTTGATTTAATGTCAAGAAAAAAAAACCCCAAAACGACCACAAAACACTTCAGCTGCAACAAATTTGGTAGATTTATGAATCTTACTTTAAAACACCTTAAAGTTTTAAATGGAAATAACATTCCAATTACCACCAGTTTTAATAGCCCTGCATGCCCATGGCTGCAAAAATACATGGACGTTGCACACTGCCAGGTTCAGAGGGAAAGTATTGCATGGGGTCTGCCAGCAGCCGGGAGGCAAAGCGGCTCTAAATAGAGGGGGATGGACCATCTGCTACCCAAAACAATGCTATTGTGGAGAATAATCAAGTGGGCAAAGAGCCTCACAGCCTCCCAGAGCAAGGAGATGCCCCCCAGTGCAGGACTGTCCTCTCTGGAGGGACTCTGCTTCCAGTTCCTCCTTTGGGGTGAATCCCTCCACAATGAGCCTCCTGAAGACCCCAGTGCAGGTCTTAAAAATGACTTTTTCCTGCAGCAATGCACGTTACCTGCCTCCTGTTTTTCCTTGCAGACAAGGTTGTAGTGCTCGACTCTTTTTCCTTTAAATAAAACAAAGAAAATGCACGGCAGCAGCTCACGCAGCAGCCAGAGAGGAGGAGATCCCACTGCATCACTTCAGCTGCCTCTACCCATGGGCAGTGAAATTCCCACCTTTGGGGGAACTTTGAAGTTGCAGAGAGCCCACAGAAATCAATAACAAAGCTGCCTAACAATGCAAGAGAAGGTCTGGCAAGACTGTAACATGGAAAATTAAATATTCCTCATTATGTAAAAGGAAAAATCCCTTGAAAATTGGGAGAATAAACTGGTCACATAACAGCACATTAAAATTAGCTCATATTGCTTGAGCTAATAAGAAAAATCAAGAACTAACCGTCTACACATAAACTGTGTCCGCTGCTGCTGTGAGACCCCGGAGCTGCTCTGCGAATGTGCCCTCAGCCCAGTCAGGACATCAGCCAGGCTCCCACCCAGGGGCCCAAGATCAGCACCATTCAGGGAGGGATTAAAAGTATTCATGGTTTACCTGTACTCTGCATTCACCGGCAGTATTTTGCCTTTAAAGAGGTGATGGTGCTGTCAGCTCTGCAGTGCTGGTGGCAAGCTTTTGTAGGGGATCTTTGGGTGAGGGGGCTCCTAGCTGAGGCAGAACTTAATCTGCTCCATCAAGCTGAAGTGGTCTCCAGATGTGCAAGCACCTTTACTGGTTTTGGTAACAGTGAGAAGAACTAAAATGATAGTAGTCAAGGTCTATGCTTGTGAGAGAGACCTGGGCTCCCAGCACATCTGCAAATGAACCCGAAGTAACTTTGCAGCAGACCTTAAAGCAGTGAATCCTGCTTCTTTAAAATGCAGGTTGCTGTTTCTTCTAATGGTAATGGCTTGCAGGGTGCCAAACCTTTATTTCCATGAGAGTTGTGTTTTAATATCCTGACGGAACAAGTTTCATGTAAAAAGGGGGGGGGGAAGAAATTTGAGACTAGAACAGGCACGTAGATGTCACTACGCAAAAGCTGGCTTTGAATTCAGATAAAAGTGTTTTCTTCTACCTACCATGTCTTTATAAAAAAATCATTGCATTTAGATGAACTATTGTATATATTCATAGCTCTGAGATCTAAAGGAATTTCTGCTGACACTTTGCATTGTGCAGAAAGGATCGTGCATCATGTCAACAGCTTGAGGATTAAAATGCAGAGCAAAGTGTCCCACACAAGAACAAGCTCAGGGAGGAGTGAGTTTGTGTTTGTGCTTCAACTTGCTCACAGCTTGCATTTACACACTTCAACTACAACATGCTTCATGTTCACTGGGAAGCATGAGGCAGATGAGATGCTCCTGTAGAGCACAGGGGGAAGGGGCAGCTCACAGGTCCCAGGCAGGTATTGGCTTCAAACGGCTCTTAAAAGGTATTTGCTTTTAATAACATGGAAAAGACGAGATCTTTCCGCATGTGGCATAATGCATTTTCTCATATTCACAGGACTCTTTTCCCAGCTCTGCATGTGCAAAGAGCAAGTTCAGGACACAGAGTAATCAGCTCGAGAACCTGGGCTGTGTGTTCAGTTCACTTTACCAATTAGATTAATTCCAACAGCACAGCATGCCCATAATTAGAAATAACAGTTTTCTTTCCAGCTCACACATTTTCTATCGTTATCCAGTTCTGCTCATCACCTCAATCTCTAGCATCTGCCCAGGGATCTGGGGAAAACAAACCTGTTAATAAATAGTCCAACTTTGTTGTCATGTTACTACATGCTAATGCATGGTCCAGAAGGCAGGGAGGAAGAATTAAGAGATTGCTGCCTTACCTACACACATAAAAAATCCACATTAATTCTCCGCAAGCTGGCTAGCTGGAAATACTTCAGAGGATGATGGTTAGCAGCAAGGATTAGTATCTACTTTCAGATGCCTGGATGGGGCTGGAAAGCCACCGTGTTTGTTGTTTGCAGAGGAGCTTCAAATGTTTGAGACACCATCATCTCCCCAGAGATGCAGAGAGAGGCTCACACACTGCAGTAGATTTTCCTCCTTTACCTGCTGCCAGGCTGGACAGTTACAAACGACTCTTCTCAGCAGAGTGCTGCTGCGCTACATTCAATTCACACTCTGAATGAAAAATGCAATCCACTTCATAATCCCATTGTCATTGAACAATAAACCCACCTGCGCCAGTTCGGAGCTGCTGAGATGCCCGTCACTGTTCACATCCAAGTGCTTAAACAGATCTTCAACTAAAAAGCGCTTCTGGGATACTCTGTCCTTGGCTGGGCTGCGTGGTGGGCTCTGCCGATGAGCATGCAGGTCCAGGAGGATGCTTTTGAGCCGGCTGTAGTCTGCCATTGTACAGGTGTCACCTAAAAGATAAACCCACATTACTGGACATCAAATTATCCTTCATCTTTTTAAAGGACTGAGCTCCTACAAGGGAAAGATGAGGCACAGCCAAAGACAGGTTGTCTGCATATACACAGCCATATATATACACACACCACTCAGCTCTGCACTTGAGGAGCTCCTGAAGTCATTACCTTTTATAATAGCTGGCAGTTTTTCTAAATCCTGCTGTCAAGGATGCTCTCCAGCATGTCACCTTCCAGATTACAGGGCTTCAGTTACAGACTCCCATGCTCAACTTCATAATCCCTCCCCCATTAAACCGGCTCTACATTTTTCTAAAGATAAATTCATCTATGCTGTGATCCTAAGGTGAAAAATAAACCTGGGAGAGCTAATGTTTAGGAAGTGTCGTGAACAGAAATAAATGGTGCACCTGAGAGTTACCCTGTGCCAAACATGGGGCTGATCTGAAGGAATCCTTAAAGGCAGCCCAGGGTGGTCAGATGGCCAGAGGGAGGACAGTGAGGAGCCCCTGTGGCTGCGGTGTCGCTGGTGCCTGCACACATCACTCCACTCCAGACTGACAAAGACGCTTTCCTCAGCCCCTGACCAGGGAAGAAGGTTATCATCACAGAAAAGCCCTCGAGCCCCTTGCTCTGAAGCAGCACGGACTCGGCTGGAGGAATCAGATTGAACCTTCATGACCCTGAATGCTCATGCTGCGCTCACAGCAGCCAGCTCTTCCCCAGCTCTTCCCTGGGGAGCACCTTGCTCTGATTTAAGAGCATCCTCCTACAGATAAAAACACATCCTGATGCCCAAAGTGGTGTAAGATGTTACAGCCCTTTTCTGCTCGACTGCTGCCTGGCAGAGCTTGGCAGAATGAAGGATGGCAACTGCCCTTTTTTGTGCAAATCTATTTGCTTTAGTGTAGACCACAGCAGCAACCTGGCTGACTCTGCCTCGGAGAGGACCCTGGAGCACCCTCATGCTCCAGCCATCCCCTTAGACGCCCTTTTCTTGTAATGTATTTTCCTCTAACGTAGATGCCCTTATTCACTCTAATGGTGGTTTCAAAACAACTTTTTGTTTAAGTCCCATCACTGATCCTGCTGGATTAAATCTAAGGGAGCCTGGTCTCACCTCAGTGTAAGGGACAACACCCTTGTACATCAGCTCCCCTGAGGCTCCAAACATTATTCCTCTGAACAACAGCAGAAGACTGGCACACTGACAACAATGTTCCTGTCCTTTACTTGCTGAGCTGCACCGTTTCTCATCTTCTGGTCCCACTCCAACTAAAACTCAATTAAGATTCCAGGAGGGAGGCACTTCTCTCCTAGCAAACCCATCGACTGTCAACCCTTCATATAGTGTGCTCACAACTTCAAAACCACTGTGACATGAGAAGGTGAGAGAGGACACGGAGGCTGGACATGCATTCACCAGCCAGGTCAGTGCCCTACTGCTACACAAGCAATAACTGCAAGACAAGGCTCATTTTCCACCCTGAACTCAGACCCTTCTTGTTTTGAGAGTTTCTCACTGGGATATTAACCAGCTGCTAAATTTTTCCTTCCCTCTAAACAACCTCCAAGGAGCTCTTGGTCCCACATGAGATCAGTCTCATTCTACAGGAAAAAACAAAAGCCACTCAGCTACTATTAGTCTATGTGCACAACTGCATGTTTAAACAGGATTTCCAGAATGAATTGCATGCAATGCAATGGCAAAATACAAGCAAAGAGAAAATGTCATAGAATCACAGAGTGGTTTGTGTTGGAAGGGACCTCTAAAGCTCCTCCAGCTCCAACCCCTGCCACGGGCAGGGACACCTTCCACTAGAGCAGGTTGCTCCAAGCCCCTGTGTCCAACCTGGCCTTGAGCACTGCCAGGGATGGGGCAGCCACAGCTTCTCTGGGCACCCTGTGCCAGCGCCTCAGCACCCTCGCAGGGAAGAGCTTCTGCCTCAGAGCTCATCTCAGTCTACCATTTCAGTCCAAACGTTGCATCTCTATCCTTGCACGTATGGGACCTGACCGGTCATCTACCCAGGCTGTCACATGGGGTGAGCCAGGAGATGTTGATCTGCTTCCACAGCATTCCAACCCTTCTTGACTCTCCCATCTTCTGAAAACAAAGCCTGAAAACAAAACTGCTCTTCTTGGAAAAAGTACACGCTCATCCAGGCTGCAAGAGAGCCCATTTGGGGAATTTCAGAGGGTCAAAGCCAGGCTGCAGCCTCCAGGCAAATGTGATGGGCATGAAGAATGAAGCGAAGGAAACGGGGAAGGACAGAGGTGGTGACAGCCTCTGGCTGCAATTCCCAACCTCTGCTAGAAGCTCACTAACCACTCTTCCCCCACTACAGTACTGCTGTGTCCAGAGTCAGGGACCATCGACCCAGCAGAGCCCCATCCTGCGTGGCAGGGTGATGCAGGGGTGTTCCAGAGCACACACAGCAAAGAAAACCAGCACTAAGACAATTATGTCCCTATTGAAACAGTAAGTCCAGCTCCACACTTTGTTAGCACACAGTGCAGCTGAAAGGTCAGAGGGTGCTCTCGGCCCCTTTCAAAACTGCTTCAACACCTCATTACCTTCACTTCCCTCTGGAGAACAACGACCCTGCAGCTCTGCTGGCAGTGGGTCCCTCAGCATCGCTGCACAGTGTGATTGTGACAGGCTCCACAGAGCTCGCACCTCAGAGCTGCTTCCCCTGATATCAACACACCAGAGGGTTGTGGTGACACATATATATGCACAGAAATCACAGAATACCAGGCTGGAAGGGACCTCAAGCATCACCTGGTCCAACCTTTCAATAAATATATACATATAATTTATACATTTAATCTCACTGTAGTGGAAAAACAAGGGGAAAAAGACTTCAGATGAAAGCCTGGCCAAAATCATTCACGCTTGGGATGTTTGAGCTGATGTTTTGCTGTGCAACCCAGACCTAATGCTGTTTTAAACATAACTACAAGGCATTGCAGCAACCAGACAGATGCTGGAGGCACTTTATAAAAGACGCTGCCTGCTCCTCCAGCAACGAAGGGAAGGAGCAACTTGAATCACTGGGCAAGCCAACGCAAAGGACAGCTAGACTCTTCTGTAGTAAAGATTCTTCCCCTCCTATTCTAGGCATTATTATTTCATGTTTTAACCCATCTTCCCTACAGAGACTGGTAACAGTCCTTCCTCAGAGCTGATTGTATAGGTCTCACAAAGGACAGCTCTGTATTTTCTCTCCTTCCCATCAGCCCCTCTCCTGCTGTCAATGACACTTGTAATCTTCTTATGTTGGGCATAGGATCTACCAGCTTTATCTACTAAATACCTTCTCTTCAGGCAGCATTGCCACCTCTTGTTCTGTTCTTCCAGGTATTACAACCATGGCTGTTAAACAAAAAAAAATCACAGAAAGGCCTCTGTGCCTTCTCACTTATCCCCACTCTTGTCCCCGCTTTGCTAAGTACCCCCAGCAGCTTCCCCTGCAACATAAGCTCATCATTAGCAGGTTATCTCACCTCAGACTGCTCGCATTGGTATGTCTGGTTAATGGATGCATCTCAGCTTGGTTTCCTTGATAGGAGCTTCCTGGGGACTTGGATTCTGTTTGCAATCGCAACCAGCTCGGGGAAGTTCTGTGGCAAGTTTCCCAAGGTGGCTTGCTTGGAGGCGCGTCTCCCAGCCTGCATATGGGGAGGTGGCTGCCTCTTCAGACATGGGTTTCACAGGACTTCTTCCCTCCCTGTTTGTGAGCACCAGAAATGCCACCATGTGTGTTTTCAGTGCCTGTGCTGTACTACCAAAAGCTCATCTCCTCTCTGTACTCCCAAACCTATGTGCTCAGGGCACCATCCCCACCACAGAGCTGGGAGAACTCAAGACACAGATTTGGGGTGAGCTAAATCTGCTGTTCTGTCTTCCATGCCCTAAACTAATACTCTGCTTGATCATCCATCTTTGCTCCTGTATACGAGGGCTGGTTAGAAAAAAGGTATACATTTTACTTCTCTATCTTTAAACAGGATCCCAGTATGATTTCTTCTGCTGACTCCAGGAGAAGAGGAGACCTAAGGGCATATCAGAGGCACCAGACATCAAACTAAAATACTTATCAGCTAGCACAGGATGGGCTTTTTTTCACAGGAACTTTAGTAACATAATACCATTATACCTGGATTCCAGCTTAGAAACTACAAATAAATAAATAAATATAAGGCCGCCTTCACCGTTTCAAGAGACTATCACTTCTACTCTTTTGAACACAAACCTAGTTTGACAGTGATGCTTTGTACAACAAACACAAGCCTTCCTCAGGAAAAGCTGCATGGGTTTTGTCCTGCGATAGGATGCCCTAGGCAGAGCTGCTTTTGTTCCCATCCCACTGCTGGAGGTCAGCCTGTGTCCCTCCTGCGAGCTCTGCGTCTGACTTTGCAGCCCTAAGAAGAAAACACCGGTGACTTTCAAACAAACCTCACATACAGAGCAGCTCCCTCCCATGCTCTTTGGATAACACTTCAATGCACTTGTCATGCTCAATACAGGGATTTCTAGCAAGTTTTATTGTAGAAATGGACCATTAAATCCATCATCCAGCAGCGTCTCTCCATCCCCAAACCCTGCTCCTGCAGCAGCCACATTCCTGTGATGCAGGATGGAGCAGAGCATGAGGAACCACTCTGCAACACACCCGGCCAGGGAAGCCCATGATTTCCCCCTCCACGCTGGGGGAGGTCTCAGAAGTAACAAGCCCTTTTTATCCATTTCCAGCGGTTTCAAACCCAGTGAAGCCTGGCACCGTTTGAATGTAAAAACCAGACAGACAGGCAAAGAAAAACAGTAAGACAGGAGGAAAATCAAAGAAAAATCCAGCGTATTAAGGTCCGATCACTAAAGTGTGGCCAATAACTGTCACATTTACACGCTCTGTTCACTTCAAGCAATGCTGTTTCTTGCTCCGTTTTGCAGCGGCTCCGTAATTCATCCTGTTTAGCACTTCTGCATG